GAACGACCACTCATCTTGGGCACTGAGTTCCCCTGCCCCTGCAATAATTCACATCAGTTTTTCAAAGTTTTGTAGTGAGTGTGTAGTTTTGTGTAGGTATGTTAGTAAGTGCATGGCACACAGATATTGACACAATTCATTATTTTTCATCAGAATAATGCAATAAAAACCACTTCTTGGGGGGGCTGCTCTACTGTTGTGTCTTATGTTAATGGCAAAGAGTAGATTATGTCTGGGAACTTTACCATGAAGAAAAGGAAACTTGATCTTATCTTTTATCCTTTTCTTGGATTTAATATTTTTACTATCTGGGGGACTGAGGAGATTGGACCTGGTTGGTTGATTGTAAATTCCTAGATTAGACAAAAACTGTACTCACCCACACTTACCATGATGAAGCAGTGAAAAAATAGTGAAAATCATATTAGCCCAAGACAAATGAGTGAGTAAAATTCTGCTCTTTGATCTAAGCCCTTCAGTTTTCTGGAATAAATTAAACAAATCAGACTGCCCTCCTCTGCCTACACTGGCCCACAGACGTACATACTCAGGCTCACACACACACACACATACTCAAAGCATTACATATGTGTTCCTACTTCATTAATATTTCTTACTTGAAACCTTACAATGCCAAGAATACATACAAGATGCAGATAACTGTACCATCCCAGGTCCTTAACCAACTTCTGTTTTAACATGATGATGTTGTTATTCTTCAGCTGTTTGTCGATTCCCCTGTCAGAATGGTGGAGTTTGCGAACGACCAAATGCATGCTCTTGTCCAGAAGGCTGGATGGGACGTCTGTGTGAAGAACGTATGTACATCATCTAACAATAAGCTGTAGATAAGATATGCTCATTTAAAGGATACTGTAACAAATGTGCTGGGAGAATTACACATTTAGGAGTCTGAAAAGGCAGAGGTTTCACTGTTTAACAAACTAGACCTGGGCTGCAGTAGAAACAAAAATGACCTTGCTCAGTGGTGCAGGGTTAGTGTTGCAGAGAGAAAAGTACCTGGAGCTGAGAGGTTCAGACCCTGTGTCAAATACACACCTGTTTAATACTTGCCAGTGAGACTTCTATGGGGACAGTCTTCTATTAGTTAAAATTGGCTTGTTCCAGGATTGCTTAAATCTGTTCCTAATTAAGTTAAACTAAAAGAAATTAACCCAGAACAAACCAACGTAAAAGTGACCTCAACTGCCTTTGTACCAATCACATCTCACATTAAGCCACTGGAATTCTCCGTGCACATAATGCCTAATACAGAATGACTCTGGGCACTGCAACTGCATCATACCTCCTTGGATGTCATGGGGGCTCAGCACCAGTCAGTTTCAACCCATATGTCATGATATTTTATTCCCACTGGAAGAAGTGTTGGACCTATTGCTTGAGCTGTCTTGCAGTGGATGTAGTAGTCTCATATGGAGTGTAAGTGAAGGCCATTCTGATTTGGTTGTGGTTAAACACAGCTTGTATGGACTCTCCACAGTGTAAATGGCAACACAAATGCAAGGCAGTGGAGAGTTGGGCCCATATTTCTTTCTGCAATAGGCAATCCAAATCTGATGCTACTTGAAAGAAAGCCAGCAGTTAAGCATGCCTTCTTTTAAAAGGACATCCCCACCTATGGGAAAAACAACCAGGGTTTTCTCAGTCTGCCTTCTCAGAAGTGTTCATTGTTTTTCCCCAGCCTTATCCTGCAATATGGTACATTCCTTCATACCAGAAAGATCAGCAAATGTCTTTTTTATGTACTCCGAGATAGATGCTCTGCCTGGTCATGAGGAAACAGATAAAAATCTGCAACCTTCAGTCTTGTCCATTTCTCAGAAAGAGGAATTTGACTCAAAACTCAGAGTCCAGAAAGATTCTTTACAGTTCCTTAGAATCAAATTATAGGTCATCATGACACCAGGCCTCGTCAAAACGCAAATCTTCTCCAAAAGGTCATGCACGTTAGCAGCCCTACCAGTGAGATTATAGACTGAATGCTACAGAGATTCTCCTCAAATCTTTACTCAGCCCTGAGTTGGGCAAAACTATTTTATAAGTACTTTTCCTGGACACCTAGTGAGTAAGAGTCACAGAATTATTTCAGAGCTTTCCCCATAATACCAATTTGTTCAGGCCAACAGAGAGTGCGCTGTGCTTTATAGGCAAAACAGGCAGATCACAGCCCCATTGAGCTTCCAGTCTAATTCTGACATGACCCAGCATGGGGCTGACAGTAAATGTGAGGAGTGCTGGGTATGGCATGGGAAGAACAAGAGTTACAGTAGTAAAAGACTGAAGGGCGGCTGCTGGTTGCGTTTACATCTGTTTTCCTTTTATAATGATGTGGCTGGCCAAGGCTGGTATATACTAGTGCTCAGGTAATAAAACAGTGAATGCCAACCACATCCCTCTGGCATCTGCCCCATCTCCATCAGCCTGTGACTTGAGTGGTGGGGTGCTCTGTGCACATAGGAGCTGGGGCTGAGTGTTCTTAATCACATACAGAGGCTCTTGTGATTACGGACTAGAACTGGGGCAGTGGAGACCTTGGGTTTGGATCTTGGGGCTGCCTTCAGCAAGCTATTCTGCTTTTCAATTCCCTATCTGTCAAATGGTAATAACAGCACTTACCTACCTCACAGGATAAATCAGTTAAAGCTGGTATTGCTATAGCACATACGAATATAGAGAGAGAGCTAGATAGGTAGGAAGGCAAATATCTCCTTGAATAGTTAGTACTAGAGAAGGGTCTGAAGCAGTCCAAACAACTTTGAACTCCATGGCTTTGAAATCAGGATCTGAGTTTTGCTGCTTAAGACCCTCTCTGGTGATTGCATTACCACGGTACCTCACAGTAAGTGGAGACCTGTTGAAAAGAATGGCAAAAGCTTTTAAGTTTAACAAAGGGGACTTCAGCTGCAGTATTATTATCATTGTCCTTGCCATGTGCACTGTGTTTAAACATGGTCCATTAAACCCACTTGCTTCTGCAGCTGCTCCATCTGTGCTGCACTGAATTACTTGCTAGTTCAGTGTGATACAGCTCCAGCACACAGGCTTTTTTGCAGTAACAGCAGGAGTGAGAAAAAGAAACACTGCAAAATGGTATTTGCCTTTCTCTGGTCTTACACACTCCAGATGTCTGTATATCTATGTGGTTTTTCTTTCACAATCACTGTGATTCTCCTTTTCCCCATGACAACCCTGTGAACCAGATACACATGCCAACATGCCTGTATGCTCTAGAGCACCAGTTCCCAACGCAGTGCCCACGGGTGCCATGGCAGTGTTCCTGGGACCAGTGGTGCCAGGCGGTCTGTTACAGTATCATTAATGCACACACAAAGTGGGGGTGGCTGGTTGTCAAACTGCATCATGCTTTGTTGCCGTAATTACAAAACAACAACAAAGATGTTAAATAGGTTATAGCTAAAATTTATAACCCTGCATTGCTTCAGCTATCATTGACCCTCCTGTTATCAGCAAGAAAACAATTTAAAACAGCTGCTTCAGGAAACTCCTGTTGGACCAAACTGGATTTCTTTAAGTAGGGTGACCATATTTCCAAAGACTCCAAAAAGGATACTCAATATCTTCCTCCCTTACCATCCCCAGCATGCTCACTGTCAGCTGAGTTCACTGGAGAATGGAAAGAGAGGGGTGTTGTGAGTGTCCTATTAAGATGCATGCAGTTACAAGGGCAGATGACTTTCAGCAATTTCGCTTGAAGACATAAAGGATAGATAGATAGATAGATAGATAGACAGATAGATAGATAGATAGATATAAAAGATGTGATGCATTTGTCTGTCTGTTTCTAGTCACTGTGGCACATAGCTGCAGACATGGCTTTCTGATCATGGGGTTTTCCATGGAGGATTCTCTATCTCTTGTTTGATCCTGTCTACCTGTACTTGTATTTTTCCTTCCCCTTTTTTGCCTGTGCCGTCTCTCTCTGATCTTCCCCCTGCATCCTATTATAGTTGCTGGGGTTGCCATATACATCACATAAATGGAACCTGCATCAGGGAGAGGTAAGGAAGGCCTGCATAGACCTGATATGTTCTAGACTCAGATCATTTACTCCCCAAAGTTAGGTCAAAGACAGAGTATCTATAGGGAGTTTAACTATAGGGAGTCCTGGTTAAGAGAACGTTTGTAATAGTGTGCACAAAACACTTTTTTGGGCTGAGTTTCTGGTTAAGCACAGGCTTTGGTCTTTTCCAGACTTATTACTTGCTTCCACAGTGCTAATGCGTTTTCTTATTTGTCCCATATTCCCTGTCCCCTATTTTTCCTTAGCAATATGCATCCTGCCCTGTCTGAATGGAGGTCACTGCATGGCCCCTTATCAGTGCGATTGCCCAACTGGATGGACCGGATCACGCTGTCACACAGGTAACACTCCTTATATGTGTTCCATGGCTTATTTTCATTAGCATCTAATAAAGGCCCTGCAGGTGCATCACAGAGGGCTCTATGGAAACCACTGTATTCTACAGAAAAAAACCCCACTTTGTAATAATATTGCTGGAGGGTTTGCTCAGCCCTGCTGCAAGCTGTTTTCAGAACAGCCTTATTGCTCTTGATGAGTCTTACAGTCTTCAAAGCAGCCTTCTCCCCTGAAAGTATTATTAGCATAATCAAGGGAGCTGTAGGCAGCAGAGAGGATTTTCAGAGAGAGCACCCTTCCAGTAGAGGGGCAGAGAGAATGCATCTCATCCACATCCCAACATGAAAAGCTACCAAGCACTCACAAGTCACCCTGAATTCAAAGGCAGTTGGAAGGGCTCCACACCTCACAGCAATGAGGCACGGCATCTTTATCTTTGGGGATGTCCCAACTCTAAAATAAAGATGGAAGAGGAGTACATACGGGCACATCTCTCAAAGCTGTAATTTAGCTGTCACAATAAATGACTGATATGGAAATGCAGCAACAAGGGCTTTAGCATGCACTCGCAAGCAGAGTACAAACCCTGTAGGAACTCCATGCTGCTCCATCATCACCAGTATCATTACCCAGGCTAGCGAGATTAAGTTTGCACAGGCATGCTAGCTCCTGCTGCAGTTACTCTTTCCTTTTACAATGCTTTGAGACATTTGTGTAAATGTGGGCCATTGTATTTTTGGTTTTATTTTGCCCATTTTTCAGAACAGTGTGTACATATTGCGTATTGTTACACAAATTCATTGTTTAAGCATACTTTTAAGACCTTTCTCTGGGTTCTCGTGGGCCACTGCCAACAAGATAAGCTTTACCCACTCACCAGAGACTGGCAGTTAGGCAGAATAGATGGTTTGGGAGGAGCCCCAAACTACCCCTGAACTTTGGAAAGGAGCCATAGAAGTTCACATCCAACTACTTTTTCCCATTCCTGCCAACTGCACTCTTTCTATTTCTTGCACCTCAACTTTATAACCTGTTATGAGTACCATATGCTCTCAGTGTATTAGTATGCACAAGCCCCCACAGCTCACCAAAAGCATCCGGGAATGTCTCCTAGCTAAAAGGGAGGCGTACACCCAATGGAAAGGAGGGGCCATCACCAGGGAGGACTATACTGCAGTTGCTCGGGGCTGCAGGGGGGCAGTCAGGAAGGCCAAGGCGGAGATAGAACTGGGGCTAGCTTCCTAGATTAAGGACAACAAGAAGTTCTTTTTTAAATTCATAGGGGGTAAAAAGAAGGTTCTGGGTAAAGTGGGGCCCCTGCAGGACACGTTAGGAAATTTGGTCGTCACACCAGACGATAAAGCCAACATATTTAATGATTTTTTTGCCTCCATCTTCCTAAGCAGGGGCCAGAACAGTCACCCCCCTGCTGGACCCCCCTCAGGCCCCGGGGGAGGCACACCCAAGCCAAGGGTTAGTGAGGAACTAGTTAGGGAACTTCTGGAGGGACTGGATGTATTCAAGTCAGCTGGTCCAGACAATCTCCACCCTAGAGTACTAAAGGAATTGGCTGAGGTCATTGCAGGACCCCTGGCACGGCTTTACGAGCACTCGTGGTGCTC